TGAACATTATATCGTGATACACATCGTATCGTATACATACATATATATTATACACATATATATTTATATTTATATTTATATATATATATATATATATATATATATATATATTTTTTTTTTTTTTTTTTTTTTTTTTAAAGAACATGATATATTAGGATAAATGACTACAATCAATTAATATACGTGATAAAAAATAGAATTCCCTATGAAACAAAAAACAACAAATCCCTTAATCTACACATCACCCCTGCTGCATTAGGAAGAATTAATGTATTTTTACTGTTGCAAGACTTTCACCACAATATGTCACTTACTGTACTCTTTTAACTAATTCTGTTTCTCTCAAAGTGAATATGTAAACATGCAGGAACCATCATCTGCTGCTAATTCGCCAAATTTACATATCTAAACCAAAGACTCTTCAAGGCAAGTAATTTTACAATTTGCCATCTTTGAAACGCCTCTCGGGCATACTATTTGAATGGAAAAATCATCATGTTCTCCAAAACTTTTTGCCAAGCTTAGGATTAAACTGCCTATTTGGAATCACTAATAGAATTAAACAACAACTGTCTCTTAAGATTCATTTCTAAACATCCAAATCAAACTAAATCTGTATTTTCCAGCTTGCCCAATCTAATGCACACTCGAACGAGATCACGACATCAACCTCATTCATGGCTGTTTATGTTTAAGTGTTGCCCATTATCTTCCTCGGAATAATGCCTCTTCCAATCACACTGATCTTGTGAAGTAATTCCCAACTTAGTCTTGATGGCAAACCTCCTCCAAAAACAATCAAAGCAACCTCTTTGTTTGCAAGTTTGAGGGGACGGACTGTACCTCGTGTTCTTTTCATACAAAATACAAAATTAGAACCGGAAATTAATAAGAATTCATTTTAATATTTATTTAATTACCCATTAATTGTATTTTTTTAACCACTACCCCTTCCCCGACCCTCACAGTAATGTAAAACTATTAATTATTGTTGTACTGTGTCACAAAAATTGTGCTACATTGATGCGAGGATCCACAGCTCTATGCCATCTAGACTTTAGCCCTAAAGAGGGTGCATAAGCACTGCAGAAACTGTCGTAAAAACACTTGTCTGATCTAAGCCCCTACCCTGGAGAATCCTATAGTGATTGATGATTGGCTCCTGTACTAGAAGGTGGGCTTTATTCACTAAATTAACATTTACACTTTTCCCCAATCAAAACTATACGAGTGACATGTCTTATGTATTCTATAGTCTTTGCCTGCTGAACACACCAAAAGAAGACCGATTTTTACCAAACAAAAAGCTCATTTGACAACTTCACAAATGGTATTGTGGCAACAAAATATCCTCTAACTCAGCTATACAGTGAATTCTTATCCTGAACATTTGATTAATATGTCCAGCAGAAAGATGGATGACAAACATGCCATCAACTATAAATCATGCTCAAATCTGAATGAGTAACACTAAAGGCTGATTATACTTCTGCGTCAAACACCGGTGTATGCTACGGCGCTGACGCATAGCCTTTCGCCGTGGCCGTCGCTGACGTGCACCTCTCAAAAAAAGTAACTACACGTCGCAACAACGCGTAGCGCAAGCTCTGTGACTGGTCGGCTTGGTAGCGCTGACGAGTCTGGGCGGGACCGAGAGCCACGCGAATGGCGCAAACCCAATGTAGCGATTGTTTACAAGTGTGGAGTCACGTGAAGGAGCTCCGGATGGAAAGTTTTGTTTTGTGTTTACCTCATAGTTAAAGTTGTTGCACGTCTGCCGGTTCCTGCCTCAAAATGAGCGAGTTTGAGCCACTTGTACATCCCGGAAGTGTTCAGGAAAAGCAAAAAAGCAGCGAAGAAACTCGACACAGAGGAACATTTACACCTCACTGCCAACTAGCGTTTCGGAAGTGTTAATGCAGACCAACAGAGACAGCGCGCAGAAGTATAAATGCACAGCCACGCACGTTGCATGCGCCGTGGGTTACGCCGGTCACCTGACGCAGAAGTATAAACCAGGCTTAAGTTGTTCAAAATCAAAACAGCACTCACTTCTTTGCTCCATCTCTCTCATCTCCTCAGGTGGGATCCTCAGTTTGTCTACATGTTCACGCAGCACACTCGTCCACTTCTGCAACGACTCCATGATGGTCCAAGGACGTGACATGTCCACTACAAACACGGCCAGACTGTCCTTCAACGACTCTGCGGTCACTGCAAACTTCAGCAAGCCTTTGTGATACAAATCGCCATCCAGGATCCAGACACTACAGCGAGTCAAATCTGGAAGGGTTTATAGTAAAGTTATAAAACTAAGGAAAACAGATTTTTTATTATTGAACCATCAAATTCTAGCTTTACACAAATTGTTTACAAATCATCATATAAGCATATTTCAAATTCAATGCAAATAAACGAATTTAACACAAACAAGATAATTAAATAATCACAGCTATGACAACTAATGACAGATGTAATTTGCCATTATCTATAACAATTATTTATTATTATTACTATTATTATATGACCCACTTTAAAAGCACTTACCATCGATGTCTTCATCTTGGACGTTCAGGTACAAGTATTCCAGCCCTCTACCTTTCTTATTGTGCTCGGCTCCTTGGAGTTTTGACATAAGCGTAGTCTTTCCTGACCCATCCTCCCCTAAAACATCACCAGAAATCATTTCAATATTGCATACTCTTCAGTCTTTAAAAGCAAATTATTTCAGCTTTACACACAAGTTAAAGGGATAATGAAGTATTATAAGATAACTAACACACACAAAGACAATTCTGGCATCATTTTCTTACTCTTTCATCCTGAAGCGTTACAATTTATATTAAATGCAAGATGTTTAGATTTTTTGTTGTTGTTGTTAGCAGACTTTTATATATATATATAAATTATTTGTGTTCAGCTAGGGCTGGGCAATTAATTGAAAAATAACAGAAATCGACATTGAGAGCCTATAATCGATACATTTTTTCCAAGTCAATTATTGACCCCGCTCCGTTTATACTTCTGCGTCAAGCTCAAGCATATGGTTCAGCGCAGCCTTCATGCAGTCTATACCCCTCACTGTGGCTGTCGCCGAAACTTACGAATCCTTAAAAAACTGGCATGCAGTTAAGGCTGATTTATACTTCTGCATCCACTTTAAAGCCACATTTGATCTTTAGTCAAGCCTTACTTTGCACTCCACTGACAATGATTGGAAGCTGCCCAGAGATGCGTTGAGATGGCATACTTTCCATTACACTAAAATTCTTTACATTTAAAATATTTATGCTAGATATCTAGAAGAGATACTGCTTATTTTCTACTTTTAATATGAAAAACATAAAAAATATTTTATTTTGTTTACAAAAGCAAAAAGTTATTTATTGTCTCTTTTTCACAAGAAAAAAAAGTGACTAGATTTTAGGCAACATGTGCTTTACATTCAGTTGTTCAACATTAATGCTCAATAAATATTCATAGATATAGTAGATAGTGTGTGTTTCCTTCAATTATTAGAAAATGATGGCTGAATGTTCAGCTTTGGGTGATAAATGCCTTAACACCAGTTTCCTTCACACAAATAAATTTCCTACACGTTTTACATACATTACATGTAAAGATTGTACACAGAAGTTAAATATGAATCTTGACTAAAATCAAAACTAAGCAAAAGTTACATACCGAAAAGCAAAACATTTTTCCCAGAAGGCAACTTAGAGCTCGAGCGTGTGGAAACTTCGCTGAGGATTGAAGACCTGAAAGACAAAACAACAGATGACAAATCACTCGACATTCATGACACCAGCAAACACAGACTTCAATGCAAAAATCAATAGTTGTGTGGACAGTTATTGTTGTTGGCTGTCAAAACTAAGAAATAAAATGTTACCAAAGCATCCACAAAAATGTTGCTAGCAAAAGGAAACGTTCATTAAAGAGATGAATGGCCAATCAACCGTTAGATCACATCAGGGATCAGGAGTGAGCATCTTGACACTTTTCATAAAAACTAAATAAAACATGCACATATAGACACACAGTTAACGATTTAACGCCTCATTGAGAAACCGCTTTACCACTACAAAGCATGTAACGTAAAACCGATGAGTTTTAACAAAGTATTAACCAACAGCACACAACAGTCATCACTGAGAATGACATGAGCAAATAAACCAAGATAATCTGCGTCCAAACGCTTCAGAAGACTTTCTTTATTGTGTAGCCAACTCCCAGTGTCTGACCCAGCCCGACACACACTTTACTACAAGTTAATGTGAAGTATTTTGGAGCTCATCCGGGACCGGCGTCTGAACTGGGCAGCACCCGGCTGGTGACAAAGCAGCAGATCACACTGTCAAATAAACAACCTCCCTGCAAAACCAGCTGCTCTAATGGACGCTTTGAGGGTTCGTGCGTACCAGAGGTTTTGTCCTTCATCATCCTCGTTGCTGTTTTCCATAGTGTCGCCTGTCCCGACTGCGCCCAGTAGCTTCTTCTCTAAAACGGGAGCCATCTTGAGTGTAGAGGCACAAAGGGAGGCGCACACTGAGCGCCCGAGGACCTCGCGTCAGACGCCTCTCCTACTACGGTGAAGGCTGAGCTCATGAATATTAAACGACGCACGATGTCGTTCTTCCAGTTAAAGCAGACCTCAGTGAGTGAGTCATAAATATTAAATAGGCACATGACAGGATGTATCATATGTTCCGGGGGAGAGGCAGTGAGAGTAAATTAATATTCATAACAACGTCTTCGCCATAGTATGAGTCAAAAACGTGCTTATAAAGAACGTAAATACTGAGAGACAACTTAATAAAAAACGAATGACAAGCTAGATATGTAGCCATGTGGTTCCTCAGAACTTATACGTATTATTTTGTTTGTTTAAAATGCCGCGTTGGACATATGCATTTCTAAAATACTTATTTTGCCTAGATGTTTAGAATTGTGATCAGGCATGTGAGAAGACAGCGCTATCCGCGTTGGCTTGAATGATGTCATTTCAGACTTTGCCGCGCTCGCTGATGTTTAGCGCATGTGACTCGCTCGCTGATCTGCGGTCAGTTGTTTGTTTTGCTTTGCCATGGTAAAGAACTGAATGTACGGAGAGAAAACTGGTCCACGGGGCTCTTCTTCAAGCGAACAGAGCATACGTCTCAATTGAAAATGTTCTTCTATCAGATGTCAGTTTTCATCATGGAAGTTGTGTGAAGTATAACCAACGCTACTCTTACATGTTCTGCTGTCTTCGAGTAATTTTAGGACGTAAATAACAATATCATCAACTTTAATACAAAATAAGTCATTTTAACTTTTGTAATTACAACATCTATAAAAAGAAAACTTTTATTTTAAGTTCAATATAAATTCTAAAATAGTTGTTGTTATGAATATCTATGAAAACCATGAACAATCGATAAAAAAGCAATTCATAACCATAAGTAACACAAGTACCATAAGTAAACAGGGGCCGCAAGATAGGGTCTGCGGTTATTTTTTTGGAAAAAAAAAAAAACTAAATTTTTTCGCATGGTGATTGCCTTATTTGGGGCTGGCAAAATCTTTGGCATGATCATGAAACGATTTTTTTGTCGTTAATGTGCGGCGACATCTGCCGGTGGAAAGATCACATGACAACGTGGGCAAACGTCCTACTTCATCCTTTGTTTTTCAAAAACAAAACCAGAGGGTGTCATTTATTAAATAAAACGCACAAGTATCTAATTTAGTGTTACTAGTACCCATTTTAGACACTAGTTTATAAGTAGAACTAGATAATATTGCTTATTCATTAGATACTAATGCTTATTCTTTATTAGGCACTGCTTATTTACACTGTAAATTTTAAGCTCTTATGAGCCTATTAAACTGACTTAAAACAACTTGCATAACTTATGAAATTAAGTTAGAACATGATTAACTTAGTTTATTTAGTTTCAATGAACTAAAAACATGCTGTCATGACTAATTGTTCATATATTTTTTTTTACAGTGTATTAGATATTAGTACTGAATAATAAGAGACTAGTACCTATTAGATAGTATTAGATATTTATGTATTATATAGTTCTTATTCGTATTACAAGTAAAATTTTAAATTGAACTCCTCTGTAGCCCTTTGGAGTAAACATAAGGCAACTGAAAAGGCAAACTGACTAATATTTATTCTCAAATATTTTTTTAATAGAGAGTTTTAGTAAAAACAAAAAAAAAGGCGGCTAAATTGTGCAGATCTACAAACAGGCATAGCAATCTTTTTTCATCATTAGTAATTTTTCATTAGTTTATTTAGTAATAGTAATCTCATTTTGCAATTTGTGTGCCCTGTTGGACACATTTGTCCTATTTAAGGGATAATTTAGTATAATGGAATAACAAAAAAGAAAAAACACACACACAATTTTGGCACTATTTTCTCTCATAATTTGTTATTTTTTATATTGAACACAGGATATTTCTATGTACTTTATTATTATTTTTTTTTTATTTAGGTTAGCTGACTTTTAAGTATATGGTACATTTTACAGGAACATACATTTTTACTTATAAAAATGTTAGTGTCTGTTGTCTTAAAAAAATCATACAAAGACAAGCATAGAATAATACAATTCAATGATAGAACGCATCCCTGATCACTGTTAGCTTCTTCTCCGTCAAATGATTTCACTTCCGAGTCACAGCCTTAACTGTGTATGGGATGCATTTTATGTTAAATGCAATGCAAATGTGACAGAACTGACGGAAGCACCGGGACAATTGTAAAATAGTATTTATTTGTTGAATTTATAATTTTATATTTTTATTCTATTGATGTTAATGATAACAACTTAACCTTTGCTAACTCTGAAGGTTTTTTCCCCTAAATAACAGTTTTTAACATAACAAAACGGTTAAACTGTTAAGTTCATTTGAGTTGAGGACAAGGACAATGACAGGGTTTGTACAGTGTAAAGTGTTTTTAATAAAGAAAAAATCTGAGATCCAAAGGAATGACAAAATCCTTTACAGAACAACTCACAGAAATCAACCATCAGTCCATTTTATACATGAAATACTTTTTATTCACTGTATTTGTTTTAATTTCAGGGACAGATAACACGTTTCTGGTAGAATGTCCCATGTATATGAATTCCCATCCCAAATGTCTCATTTAAATGTTGAGCTGCATTACTTTAACATAGACGGTTTTGTCTGTTTTATTTTGCCACTATTGTGTGACCTGTGTTAAATTTATTCAACATTCTTACTTTACATAACTTTATGCAAAGTTTATGTAACTTTACTTTTTTATAAGCAATTAAATTCCATACATGAACTCGACTTTAAAAACTAAAAGTAAAAACTTTTGTCAATTTGACTAAATTTTATTTTATTTTTTTTCAGTGAGTTTCAGTGAGGGACACACTGGTCTGTCTCAACGGAGCCTAGATAAGATGAAGGGGTGAAGGGATGACAGCTGAGGCTCTGCCACAATTACAGGACGTCTCAAGGCTCTTCCCTCTGGCAGCTCCATATGGCTGGCAAACTGAAACTGTGCTTTACTGGCAGCAGCGGAGGGGTAAGAGCGGGATCTCCTGGGAGAATTAGCCTGCCAATACCCTGAGTCATATATACGGCCTGTAACCTGACCTTCTTCTTTTTATTCTTCAGCTGCAAACACCCTGCTGTCAAGAAAACATGCTCTTTTATTGACACACAGGCCCAGCTCCAAAATAAAGTTACTGAGGTTGATATATACTGAACATTATTTAATAAGTTACTTAATTTATGTTCGTTTCATTTTAGTATATATATTTTTGGAGACACATTATTTTAAGCTTATTAACTAGCTTATTAAGGTAGTTGAATTTAGGTATCGAGTAGAATTATGAATGTAGTATAAAATCATAGAAAATATGTACTTTATACGTGCTAATAAAAAAGCCAATATTTTAATAACATGCTAAGCAACTAGTCAACAGTGAGGATACTGATTGAGGATTTTTGTTTGTCCAATTTTGATGCATTTCTTGATTCCTTCACATTTTATTTAATTTTGTATGGTCATTATTTTATATTTATTATTTTATTTGAGCCTACTTTTATGTATTTGCTTTGTACTTCTACAGTTTTGTTGATTTATTAAAATAAATTGTTAATTAAAATATAATATTTTTTTCTCCAAACATTTCCATGCACCCCTCCCCATTAAAAAAAATAAATAAATAAATAAAACTCTGCTGTTGATGTTTGGACATATTACATTTTTGTCTCATCCACTGCTAGAGAGACCTGTGTGTAGATAGCATTTAGCAGCATTAAACATAAGTAATAGATTATACATTGTCACAGTTCCGTTTTTCAATTAAACCATTAAACTGCACAGTGAATCTCTTATTTAGATTGTGTTAGCAATTCGTTATAATGAGAAGCGTTGCAATCATGTAGAGCTCATTACTGAGCAAAATCTTTTTTTTTTTTTTTTGATAGGCTGCGCTACATTGCATAAAGCAATATGTAATACTTTAAAAAATCACTTTATTAACTGTGTGCATGTGTGTAGTTGTATTGTTTTCACACTGTAAACGATGCAAAGTTTACAGAAATAATTTGTGTTGTCCCAACACAAATCAATTAAGTTAATTTAACAATTTAAGTGGATTAAACATAAAATCGCTCATCTTAAACATTTTTTAGTGCAAATAAACTCTTACACGGTAAAAAAAAATGCTGAGTTCCATGCAATCAATTTGTGTGGGGACAACATGAAGAAATTAAGTTGACTTTTTAAAGTTTATGTTTACATATTTAAGTGGATTGAACATAAAACAATTGAGTAGTCCCAGAAAAAAATCTCAAGAATTGTGTTGTTTTAGCTCATTTTAAATAGCTAAGTAGCTTGAGTGCATCTCAGATCTTCAAGATCCAGCTTTTTTGTCTATCCTTCATAAAGCTGCCACTTGAAGTTGTGCAACACATATAGTTATTATTTTGCAATGCTATTCTTATCATTCTGTGTCTAAACAAAAGTCACATTCAGGCCTTGTTTAAAATGCAGGGACAACTATGGCTATTGCTCCTGATGCACCATCATCTTTCAGACACTAGAGGCCGCTGTCCTCTTTTTTCTCTAAAAAGAAATTTTCAGAGCAAACATTTTTGTTGTTTTATTGACATGAGACTTGCAGTTAATCACATATGACATGCTTGCCAAGCCTTTCATGGGGCATAAACCTCACAGATCATAAACCTTTCAGCACACAGAGTCTGGGAACACCGTAACCTTGAACTCTCTGCCTGGAATAGTTGGGCATTTTAACAAATTACCAGCTGTGTGACTGAAATCAAAACATTACTAGCTTTTTTTTTTAGCCATGAGTGTAGATCATCTCAACTGTCAAGAAACAAAACATGTATTTACATTTTTCACATGAGACCACAAGCTCTCGTATTTTAAGGATCTGACTGTACAATCCTGCATCAGAAAGTTTGATTGCCATTCTTGACATTTGGTTCAACAAAAATGCAAGCTGTGCTGTAAAACACAACAGCATTACGGAGAGGAAACCAGTTTCTCACGACTGTTTCATCGCATTCCATGTGTCTAGCGGTGATGAAAGGGCAGCGCTGGTTCATTCCTCCCCTCAGTGAGATTTAATCACGAGTTCATTATAAAAAAAACTAAATCAAAATATTTAATTGGCTTGTCTACATGAGGATTGACTTATAATTATTGACACAGCTGGTCTGCTCCAGGGTGTTTTCTGTGAGACCTCCTTTACTGTATACACCTGCACTACAGTAGGTCACAGTTCTTATATTATAAAACTTGTGTCCAGTATACATCCTCTTCAACATTACAAATACATTGCAACCAAAGGAAATAATTATCTTAATTCCTATTTGTAAAATCTTTAATATATACAGTACTCAGCACATATGAGTACACTCCTCATAAATCACTCTTTTAAATGAATATTTTCTGTAGGAAACAATATTTACTATATTTGTGCACATACATTAGATTAGTCAGAACTGAAGCCACATTTGGAGCTTATCCAACAAAATTATTTATGATAACAGTCTAAAATTAGTAGCCCAAATTTATATAGGGAAAAATAATAAATAAAATGTTAAAAAGAGCAAAAATCAAGAGAAACAAAAAAAAAACTAACAAAGGAATATATAGATTTTTTTACTTTGCAATTTCTTTTGCAATATTTCACATGAATTTAAATGTTTTATCTTTCTATTTCTAAATATGTTTAGTGACTAAAATATTATTTAAATTAATATAGTTTATTAATAAATGTGTTTTGTTAAAATATGTTACATATATTCACTGAGAAATGGATAAAACTATGATTTTTCAAAATAGGGTGTACTCAATTATGTTGAGCACTGTATCAAAATCAGAACCTTTTCTAATAGCACTTGATGTGAGTATTGCACTGTAAAACCCATTAAGTTAAGGTAACTCAAACCATTTGAGGAAACCGATTGCAACAAACCATTTAAGTTAAAAAAAAAACAATCCTAATAAGTACTTTGAACTTAATTCATTGGAGTAAACGACGCAATTTGAGCACAGTAAAACCCAATAAATGAAGAAAACTCAAACCAACTGAGTACTGTAAAGCCCGATAAGTTAAATCGACTCAAACCGTTTAAGGAAACAGATTGCTACAAACCAAATGAGTAAAAAATTTATCTGAGTACTGCGAACTTACTCCATTTAAGTTGGGGTATTAATTTGAGTAATGAGGTATTTAATCAACTCATTACCTTCAACATATATCTATTGAGTTCAAAACTCTTTTCAAATGAGTAGAATTAACTTTCAGTAAATTTTGAGTTTACCACACTCATTTTATTTAATAAAGTTAACTCTTGAGTTTTACTGTGTGCCTCTTTGTAAGCTAAACATTCATTCATTCATTTTCTTGTCGGCTTAGTCCCTTTATTGATCCGGGGTCGCCACAGCGGAATGAACCACCAACTTATCCAGCAAGTTTTTACGCAGCGGATGCCCTTCCAGCCGCAACCCATCTCTTGGAAACATCCACACACAAATTCACACACAAACCAAAGCACCCGGAGGAAACAGACGCGAATGCAGGGAGAACATGCAAACTCCACACAGAAACGCCAACTGAGCCGAGGTTCGAACCAGCGACCTTCTTGCTGTGAGGCGAAAGCACTACCTACTGCGCCACTGCCTTGCCCGTAAGCTAAACAATGTAGATGAAAAATTGCTGTAATGTTAAATAATTTACTGTCTACAGTATTTATCTTTCTAATTTTTGAAAGTATCCCAGCAGTTTTAGTGAGCTTGTAGATATTTACTTTTCAGGCACAACTGTTATTATCATACTAGAACATCATTATTTAGGATAGTGAATACTTGTTGAATCTGCGAGAAAGAAACAGTAATGTTTGGTAAGTGTTTTTTTTTTTTTTTTTCATTTACATGTTTATAGAGTTAAAATGAAATGGCCTTAAAGAATGTCATCGCACCTCTGTCTGTACTATTAACACAAAGCAGCCAAATTACACAAGGGTGCCATGTGTCAGGCTGCTTCAAGTGGAATGTAATATTCAGAATGACCTTAAGACTCTCGTATACATCTTTCTTGTTGCGCATTTGTGAACCAGTAGGCTTTATACTCTCACAAAAAGGCTGGGATGATTTACAGTGCTCAGCACATGAGTACACCCCTCACAAATCCTCATAAATTCATATTTTTCATAGGAAGCTATACAATATATATAACTGAAGAAAAATCTGGTGCTTATATAACAAAATAACTCATGATAGCGGTACACAAACTCGTACACCTATTTTTTTTTGTTCTAGAAAAATATTAAATACAAATTTAAAAAAGAGGAAAAATTAAGAGAAGAAAAAAAATTAAGTTGAATTTTTGTAGTTTGTATATTTTGCATTATTGTGCTTGAATTTAATTGGATTATCTTATCTATGTTTGGTGACTAAAATATTATTTTAATAATTATATCTGTTTAATAAATCTGTTTTGTTTAAATGCACCAAAATACATTGCCTATATTCACTGAGAAATGTATAAAAATATAAATTTTCAAAATTCTCCATCATGCTGAGCACTGTAATTCTAATTTGAATAAAATATTTTACCATCCACATGGGTCCACATTTTACCCAAATTGGGGTTGAAACTACCCAACTTTAAGAATTTTTTAAAACATGCAAAGAATTTGACTCATTCAGTATGAGAAAACACACACACAATAACTATTTCACTTTTGGTTCAAGCAATGGTGACATTCACAAGTCAGTCTACAGCCGCTTACAACAGGATCAGTGTGCGGACATCTTCACACTGTAAAAACAACACATTCTACACTGCAACCGAATTTGAAGGGCCTGCTTACAATTCACTCTCTTCTCTTTCAGCCATGGGGGAGGAGATTTTGCTGTAACCCCTGTCTTTACACACACACAAACGGAGAGAGAGAGAGAAATGCATGGTAAACCAACCAATCAGGCAGGTGAAAAAAGGCAAATGCACCAACTTGAAGTCAAAGGAACACGGTTGCTATAGTGATCACTTCAAAAAGTGAAAGAAAAGAGGGCATTATTCCCAAAACCCATTATAAAGCCCATCTAATCTAGTAAAAATATGCACCCAACGTGAGGGGGAAGGGAAGGAAGGAGGAGAGGGAGGGTATATGGATTGTGGGCAGTGGGCAGGAGAGGCTGTGATAACGACAGATGTCTCACAAACCGTGGCTTTAACAGGAGGGGTGAAAGGAGAAAAAACGCCCAGTCGCGGATTGGACCTCAGGGAGAGAGCAGGACCGGCGCTTGCTGAATCACATTCACTACTACGGGAGGAGACAAAAAAAGTACACCCAGCGCAATCTTTCGCAAGGATTTCCACAAAAGCGGAGTAGCAGGTCAGTAAAATGTCTGTAGTGAGTCTCCGAATAGCGGAATGAACATCACTTCGCAGACAAAGCGTTTAACCGGGGCTGGAGATGTAGTTGAATGCAGATTGCACGAGCCGTTCTTTGTTCTCTTCATTTTCACATGCCAGTCTTTACATCTAGCACGATATGCAACAGATTCATTCCATGTCTCTATTAATAACTAGATGTTAATGTTTATTTCCTGAAAGTGTCACAGTTAGAATATTTTACCTCACAAATGTCACAGTTAAAATATTTAAGCTTACTTTATTATGACACGTGTTTCCTTAAGAAAAATATAGCTACTGGAATGTAGATATCTGACTGAAAGTACATTTAACGATATATAAAGAGCTATTTTAACATTTATATTGTATTTTTGATGTGTTTAATTAAGATATGGGTTACAGGTAGCAGTTACTCAAAGCTTGTATTTCGCTTTCCCTTTACTGACCTCTTAAAAGCATTATTTTTAAGGAAATGGGAAGCTTTTATTTGCTTTACCATGAAATTGCTTATTAAGGAGGAGCTGGTCGATATGGGGATGGGTGTTGGGTGGGTGTGGAGTGGGGGCTGGTATGTCTTACAATTAATACTATTGATACAAAATTGCATAGCTTATTATTGAACACAGGATTTACTGCAGTCATTGGTTTTCTCATGTTTTGCATAAGCTCTAATGAATGGT